TAATTCCAAACAATCTACTACTATCCTAATGAATCAAACTGTATTAATCAATGCTCTAATTTTAACTCTTTTCCAGGCACATTTGAAGGTGGCTCAATCTGAGATTCAACAAATGATTCAGAACAGGCTCAAAAAATGTGAAGAGCTCAAGAACTCTATAGAGCTGAGCAGGGTAAAGATTTTATTTAAGCTAAGATTGAGTTCAAACAAACTTTTGCCAAATAAAAGTATTCAACAAATGTATTTCAATGTATACATTTATTACACTGTCGCTACTATACTAGTACGCGATCAGGAGAGCTAGTTAGTTTGGTTTAGACATAGTTGGATACCTATTTAGAGTGACTAGCTATTTGTAGTGAGTTCTGTCTGTTTAATCTTATCTGGTTTATGTCTGATATTAGGCTGCTTTTCCTACCTTTAGTTTTTGTTATCTAAGTGTTTTATTTATCATAACTTTCTGTAAGGCCAATAAATGTCATTGGGTTCAACCCTAGAGCTATATTTTGGAAAAATGTTTGTCATGCGCTTTCACACCTTCCTACTATGTTGCAATTCATTCAGTTAGTCAACAAACATAAGCATCTTCACTTTGTTTATGACTCACCTTCTAAAATCTTTGCCATAGTTCAATAAGTCACCCGAGAACAAAGTTACTGAAAGAAAAAGTTTCCATCCATATTAAACATTTGATTGAGCTGCTTTCAGAACAGATTCCACTGGACACACCTTCCTACTATGTAGCAATTCATTCAATTAGTCAACAAACATCAGCATCTTTACTTTGTTTATGATCAGACTTGTTTATGACTCACCTTCTAAAATCTTTGCCATAGTTCAATAAGTCACCCAAGAGCAAAGTTACTGAAAGAAAAAGTTTCCATCCATATTAAACATTTGATTAAGCTGCTTTCAGAACAGATTCCACTGGACGTTTCAGATGCCTGAGAACAGGTCTCTGCAGAGAAGCAGAAAACAAAAACAATACACTGTAGATTAGCCAAATATGTGAGAAGCAAAGTTTGGTCTCGATAAAAAACAGATAATTTAGAAAAAAAGGGACTCTAGATCTGAACCTGTACCTTTGATTGGACTGACCTGTACTTATACGGTGCTTTAAAAGGTCCCAACTGCTTTGTTTGGGGATTAACCAATCAGGATTATGTTCAATTACAATTAATAAAGTGAAGTTTTCAAATATATTCTGGCAACAAATTGTGTTCAATGTCAAAAAACTTTGTAGCTGAGTTACATGGTTTTTAGTAGGGTCGTTTTATGAAAATGAAAAAGATCTAATCCTGTTTTCTTTCTTTTTTATATTTGCAGATTGATAAAGACAAAGAAATACAAACTAGTGCTCATATTGCCAGCATGGCAATAAAGGCCATTGAGAGAAACCAAGCTCTGCTCATAGAGGAGATTGAAGAGAAACATGAAGCAGCAAAGAGGAGAGGAGAAGACCTAATAGAAGAGCTCAACCAGGAGATCGATGAACTGCAGAGGAGATGCAGTGAGCTGCAATATCTGAAGGACACCAAGGACCAGCTACATCTCCTGCAGGTCAGACATTTTAACGATGATGTAAACTAATCTTTCATAAAGCACTACTTGTTTTAATGTGATTGCAGGTTAGATTTAGCAGCAAATTAGACACATTAGATATTAATTCACTCTGCTTGTCCTGTTAGAGATATACAACAGCAGCATTTTTCTGCCTAATAAACGTAAATTTTTTTTGCATTTGGAAATTACTTTTTCCAGAGCTTCCCATGCCTGACTTCTCCTCCATCCTCCACAAACTGGTCTGAGGTCATTGCTGAGCCTGATATTTACATTAGAAGTGTCAGGGCAAGTTTCTCCAAGCTGGTGGACCTCTGCCGGGAATTGGAAAAGAACCTTTGTGCAGAAGGTCAGTACTTATTCAATTGACATAACAGAAAACGCTTCATGTAGTCTTTTATAAAGATTTGACCATGTTGCATCCAAGATAATTCACTGAATAATTTTAAAACCTTTTTTTTTCCCTCTTTCTTTTCAGAAATCAACAAGATTGGCAATTATGCAGGTATGCATGTGAATCTTTAAGAGGGTTCCTTTACTATAGTTTATAAATTGTCTCAAACTTCTGCATCTGAACAATTTTGTTTTTATTGATTGAAACTTTATTGATACTGAGTGACGTTTCCATTCTTTATATCCATTTATTTTTAGTGGATGTGACTCTGGATCCTAGAACTGCTGCCAACTGGTTGCTTCTGTCCCCCGATGGTAAAAAGGTGTGTTTCACAGTGAGACGCCTTCGTCTGTCACTATAAACCCTTCTCAGGCTTTTGGATGTCAGTGTTTTTGTTGCTAACATATAATATCCTTCTGCTGATCCATAGGTGAGCCTGAGCGGCCAGCAAGGAATACAGTCGCTCCCTAAGGACCCCCGCAGGTTCGATTCCTGTGTTGCCGTCCTGGGGCAGCAAAGCTACACCTTTGGGAGGAGATATTGGGTGGTTAAGGTAGGTTGGTAGAGTTAGACCCATTGCTGAACTGCAAACACTACAAAGTCTAATACTGTGGTAAAAACAAGTCAGATGTGGAGATAATTTAGAGCTTGAATATTGATGGAAACTACAACAAAAAAGTTAAAATGTAAATGTTTATTATCCATGTTTTTAAGTTTATTAACATTGATTATAACTAAATAACCATCTGCATCAAAAGGCTTGGGATTTTGTATCTATAGAGTAATTATTTTATTTAATTTGGGTAAGTATCGCACTTATCCGTAAGTAGTCTGGCAGAGACTCAAAGGATCAGACATTGAGCTGCTGGTCGAGTTAATTTTATTCAGACAAGAAAGTAAACTCAGGCTTAGAAAGCTCAAAAGTTTAAAGAGTAATAAAACTTTTATTGAACAATATTTTTAAAATAGACTTTTTATTGATCCCTTTACGACTAAAACATCGTTTGATGAGCAGACTGACTCCTCAGTAGATCAGCGCCGATGCATCTATAAGCCTGTAGCATATTTTCCTGATTTTACTGTGGGTTAGAAGTTCTGGAGCTGTTTTGTGGATTTGACCTCAAGCGTGTTCATGTTATATCTGTCCGACCTAGCAATCAGTGTTATAATCAAGGTGGATTTTATGGATGCTCAGACACCAGTGGCAACTCCACTCCGTAAGGTGAAAAAAGTATAAAAGAAAGAACCTTGTAAAGTACGAGCTACGAGAACGAGCAGAAGAGAG